TCGGTTGGCCGTCCTGCATGATCACTGCTCCAAGCTGGTCCTTGGAGGCGTCGGTGTAGACGTGGAATGGGCGGCCTGACTTCGGATACGCGAGGAGCACCATCTCTGTCAAGGCCGCTTTGATGGCATCAAACGCGGTTTGTTCACAATCACCCCATCTGAATGTATAGACTGGTGAAGTCAGCCGCGTCAATGGGCTGAGCAATGCTGCACGCCGCGGCAGCATGTCACGATAATAATTAACCATACCGACAAATCTTCTGATGTCACGGCGGTTGCGAGGAGCTGCTAAGGCGCGAATAGCCTCCACCTTGTTGGGAAGCGCAGATATTCCGTGCCTGCTCACTTGGTATCCCAGGTACTCGACAAACTCGGCACATACTTTGCTCTTCTTGGGGTGCAGTGTGAGTCCGGCGTCTTGCAGCCGATCGAATACAATGCGTAAGTGCTCCATGTGCTCACTAAACGTTTTCGAGAATACCATAATATCGTCAAGATAAGTTCGAACAAATTCCAAGTCTCCAAGAATCTCATCCATGCAAGCTTGAAATTCGTCAGGCGCAGTTGATACCCCCATGGGCAGTCTCGTGAACACAAATTTCCCCCAAGGTAGAACAATCGTCGTTGGCCCACGACTACAGCGTGCTAGACAGCGAGCATAATAGCTCTGAGGCACGTCAAAGGTCGAGATGTACCCTGGTTCCTCGATGGACCTTAGCGTCTGCTTCACGTCCTTCGTGGGGTAGAAGATCCGCCGAAGTACCTTGTTCAGGCGTCGAAAGTCACAGACAAGTCGCACTGATCCGTCTTTCTTTGGAATAACAAACGCGGGAGAGCCCCACGCAGACGAACTATCTCTCTCCAGCACGCCCATGTCTACGAGTCGTTGTATTTCCCTCCTAGTAGCGTCATAGTACGCACGAGGAATCGGGAATGGACGGCAAGATACTGGTTCAGCGTCGGGTACTAACGGCAGTACGTACGGGTCTTTGTTACGCAGAGTGCCGAGCTTCCCTGAGAATAGTTGTGGGTAATGATGGAGCAGCTCAAGCACCTCGATTTTCTCCTCCGCGGTCAACATGTGCCCGTCAACCATTGCTTCTATTGGAATAGACGTCTGGGTTTCAATATCGATCTCTGCCCGACACTCCATATCTTCCTGCAACACTGCCGCTTGGCGGCGCTGACTGTTCACTCTTGGCCTCATTTGCATTGGAATCTCCAAGCCATCCCACTCCATCACACAGGTTTCAAAGTTTAGGATCATTTTCTGCTTCTTTAGGAAGTCTCGGCCGAGCATCACTGGATAGAGTAGAGTCTTTGCCAGGCGAAATTGCTGTGAGCACGTACGTTTCTCCGAGAAGTCATGCAGCTTGAGCATTGCTGCTATACGATGAGTAGTTTGCCCCAACGTGCCATCTGCATTGCGGAATTTCGATATCTCGGGCTGGAGCACGACGCTGTGACCAAGCTCTGCCACGGCCGCCTGGCTCATAGCAGACGTCGTGCATCCCGTGTCTACAAGAGCTGTCATCGTCTTACCTCCTATCTTCACTTGAATCTCCATTTGAGGGTCGGACGTGTCATCACTAGAGTCGCGTCCGCTCATTGCAGCCATATTGTTGTTGGTTTCCTCACTGTAGAACGCCATCGCTGCAAGCTCCTCATCCTGGCGTCTCTTCATAGTCTCCATCATGACCGCCATCTGGTTCAGTTGCTCCTGCATGGCTGCCATCGAGGCATTTCCCTCTCGATGACGCCCTGCAGCATGGTTAGTGTGTGGGCGGTATGCGGGCGACGCCGGATCTCTCCAACAATCGCTGCTATTATGGTTGTTGCGTTTGCAAAACGCGCAGTATTTGTTGCCCGTGGTGTTGTCTCTCGACCCCGAGCTACTGTGGTGCCTACTGGCCCGTCTTCCTCTCCCACTGTTGGGAGCGTTGTTCCGAAGTTGGTGTTGCTGAGGTTGGCTCCTGACGTGACTGCGGTTGTTTCTTAATATTGCTTCGTCTCGTTCATTACGCTCAACAACTTCAAATTGAGCCTCCACACTACGGAGGTCCCAAGTTCGCGAAATGCGATTTACCTCGATTTGCCAATCCACTGGCATGCCGGCGTGGTACATGCGAACAACATCCGCCTCTGGGACGGGCTCATTTTCTCCGTGTTCGAGAAATGGAATCATTCGCAATAAGGTGCGAAAAGCACTGCTATACTCACGCACGGACATAGCCCTGGTCTTCTTCAACAAACGCATTTCATCGACGAGCACTCCTCTTGTGCCGGGTGGGCAGTGACGTGCTGTGAGCTGCCTCAACGCCGAGTATGCTATGTCAGGTCGAAACTCTGC